AAGAAATTACTTCTTGAGCTTATCAGTCTAAATGAAGGTAATGGTGAATTAGGTGAGCAGTCCCTTTGAAGCAGAGCTGAGCCAAGATGCTATGAGAGAGTTTTCTTAAAAATAATTATTCAGACAATAAATGGCTTAGAACTGAGTTAATGTTAACCTTTTACATTTGGTCCTGGTTTTGTATGTTCCTTCCCATGCACTTCCAATTTGTTCTGTTTGGAGTTGCTCCAAGATGTTTTTCCATCTGCAAAACAGAATAACTTTTCTAGAAAAATACATTCTTGTATGTCCCAGTTCACAAGGCTCGGGCAGGATTTTTTAACTGGGGAGGAAGCCGTCATAATATAAATTTTATAAAAGCAAGCTGCGCTCCAAGTACAAGATAACCAGAAATTTCTTGCTGACAGTGAGGCAGAAAGAGTCCAGGTTTTCCAAGAGACTATCATGGCTTGAAGTTGGAAACTTACATAATATAGAAGATGTCACAGAAGCTATTCCCTTACTGTAAGGCTCTCAGGGAGTGCCTTAAATTCAGGGCTTTCCCAGCCTGTCAGTCTCAGGAAGATAGGAGTCAATCAGCTCTGATTACAAGAACCTGTAGTTGAAAAGCAGCTTCCTCCTCCTCCTTCTCTTGACCATGATGGCTTTTCATGCAGTTGAGGACTCCTCTCTGGCTTTCCATATGAAGGAAACTGCATACCTGAGGGACAGGTGAGTAGTTAGGTAGACTGGGGTTTTAATCTCTAGGCATAGAATCAGAGACAGCTTCATCCCTGTATGAATGGCTCTTTCTCAAGGAAAGATGAATCATAGGAACACAATGTTCTCTGACATGCCATCTACATATTGTGACTGCTTTGGAAAAGAACTGTTCGCAATCCAACATTTGTTGATTTGTAGAAAGTTGGGGAAGTAATACCATGTTTGATATAAGGATTGTTTGTTTAAATTGCAAGAATCATTTTGATTGATACAAACATGAAAATTTCTTGACTTTTCTGACATGCAATAATGGCGGGAAATGTAATTTTCAACTATGACAAAAATAGAATTTCCAAAACAGTAGGGAAAAAATGATAAAGGAATGTTTTTTAAGAAACTTTTTCGGCCTTTTAGATTTTCTTCTGCTCTAATCAGAATTTGGAATTAGACCCATTTTTTGTGAATCCCGTCAACGTGGATTTCCTTCTCTTAGAATATCCATTAAAATATCTCTACTTTTAAAAGAGTGGTTAGCACTATCATTTTGTTTAAAGTTATAGTTTCAGTAATCTCATGAACTATTTTAAAATATAGGCTTAAAATATATATATTTTAAAAATTACACAGCAGCTAAATTTACATGAATCCTGCCCCTTGCTTTATCAGGGCTCACTGAAAGGGGGGCCCTATTTGTGTCAGCAGGAAGAAAAGCTGAAATAAACGATGCTGAATTGGGTTGTGCATTTCAGAAACGTTAAATCACTTTTCAGGAACTAAGAATCTGGCAAAACTATTATAGTTATAAAAGGCCCTGTGTGCTAGTTGACAGGACTCAGCAGGAAGCATGGTAACAAATCAAAAAGGTTCTTTTCAGAAGAATAAATCTGTATACCAAATTTATAATATTCAGTAAGACAAAAATGAGCTGTATCAAATATTCTCTCATATTTTCTTATGCATATTGCAATTTGCTTGTTTTTGAACATTTTAAGTATTTATTTTCTCTTGTGCTAATTTAGGATAGGAAAACTTTGCATTTAGCCAAAGCAACATATTTCCAGCTTACCGTTCCTTTCCCCTTCAGTGTAACAGGGCAATAAAGTCAGGAAAATTAAAAAGGACGTTTTAACATTTGAAAATGTGCTATTTCTAATTAAAGTAGCAAAACTAAAATTTTGGAAAATGATAGATCTAAGGCCGAAAGATAAATAATTGAACTGTATCTCCCTCTCTATGACTGCTGACAGCAATTGTTTAAAACAAGTACTGAGCTTGCTTATTTACTGTCATATTTTTCATTCTCATCTTAGCTCTGTTTAGACTTCTAGGGAAATTTAAAAAAAACAGGTACAGAAAAAATGAGAAATGCCCATTACAATCTCACCCTGACTTCTGTACAATGAGAGGAAGAAGAATCCTATGGAGAGGAAGCTGTACTTATCCTGATTCTCCTCCCTTGCAACCTTAACATATTGATGGAGGATGTCAAACATATGTGATGCTAATTCATGCTAGTAGTATAGTTCTCTACTTAGAACTATTGGTTTAGTGATCATTCAAAGTTGTAAGGACACTGAAAAAAGTTTTTTTTTTAATCCACCTATCAAGGACCTGAGATAGGACCTGAGATAGGCAGCTGTTTTTGTTTGATGGTGCTAAATACTACATAATACATCACATTAAATAATACATCACAGGGTATATAGTATTCCACAGTTGCCTTTTGCAATTGACTGGTGGTAATTTTGTTGATGCCAATGATGTTGAAGTGATGCCCTTAAGTATTTTGGGATTGCACCCAAGGAGCCTATTATAATTGGTAGTATCTTTTTCTTTCTTTTGCCATAGTCATTTTATTTCTGTTTGTGGATCTTTATATTTTGTGATTTTTCTCCGGTTCTTTCTCTTCCCTTCTGCTGTCTCCAGGCTCTGATATATCTACTATGCAGGCTTTTTTTTGTTGTTGTCAAGAATTGTTAAATATGGAGTGTTATATATCAAGTGCTTGTCTGTTTGAATTGTAGAATCCCAGAGCACTTCAACTTCTTCATTTCTATGACTTTCTCTATTTTATGATCTCACCCATTTTTGCTTGAAGGCAAATGTTATTTGTTACAGATATTTCAGTGCACCCTTGTTGCTACTTTGACGTGCTGTTGTTTGTAGTCCATCTGGGTGATCTTCTGTCAGCAGCTAAGGAAGTGGTCCACTATTTCTTTGGCTTCTTTGCAGAGTGGAATTTGGTATTTGTTGCTGTCTTCTTGATTCTGGCTTTGTATGCTGTAGTTCTTCTTATTTTTATTATTCCAGCTATTTGAAGAGAATTGTAGTGCCTCTTTCCTCCTCCATAAGAAGCAGACCTTGCTTCCAGAAACAAAGCTAATTTGGTATTTGATTGTCCCATCTCTGCTTTCTCTTTAATGGGAAAGAACAAACCATGGTCCAATCTATTTCAGTAGAACTGCCTGAGTGACAGGTCCACATAAACATTTTCTAGGTACAAGGAGTTACCAGAAAAGTCTGGCTTCATTCCTGATTGTGTAGACTGTTTGTTCCCCTCCTAGTTCCTTTTCCTGTACAAGAATTGGGCAGTGCAGAGGAATAGTCGGGCACCAGCTGAGGGGTTGGAAATGCTGGCTTGATGCCATTTACTATCATAATCAGCATCCATTCCCAGAAATCAGGAAGAAATAAATGGGAAGTAAGGAATCCATAGTTAATCAGGGCTTGCAATTCTAAACAGTTCTAGCGCAAACAAATGTTCTAGAGAAATCCTTCTTGTAGAAATGAAAAACCAGCTAGTTTTAAGAGTAGCATTCATTTATAGGTAAATATTTGAAAAACTGTAAAACATAAAAGTATTTGCGGAAAATTTTAGAAAAATCTTTACATTGCTTATGCACATCTTAACATTACAGTCTATAAGCACGGAGATTGTAAGTACTGTGTGACTGGGCTTTTGCCTCAATGAGTGTAACTACTCTTAAAAATTGCTTGAATTAGGTCATTTGCTCTTTCAAAGGTCATTCTGATTTTTAAGCAGCACCACCACCCTTTTTGTCTATAGGGGGGAAAAACAGGTATTGTCTTAATAAAATATCAGAAATAAAGAATAATATCCTTGTGCAGTATCCAGAGCACTTTTTCTGAATAATTTTTAAAATGCTCATGATCTAATTATTAGTCCTGGAAGAATAATTCAGTGTAGATTTAGAATTCATTTTGTTTTGTAGAGAAGGTTTATAGAAGTCTTACCTGAACTTCAGCTTATTTAAAACAAATTAATTACATTTTAAGTATAAAAATGAGAGCTATTGTTAGGATTCAGAGAGATATCAATGATTTATTGCTAGCCTTTTTTCACATTGTATTAAAGAGGCAAGGGAAACTCACATAAGTTGAGAGATGTGAGCGAAGCTATAAAATGGACTTAGCAAATAAATATTCTGAACAGATTTATGAAGATAGATACTAGATTTTTTATCCCAACTTTATTATTTTTATAAATAACTCAAGGCAGCCAACATATTTAATACTCCTTCTTTCTCCACAAAAACTCTGTGGGGTAAGTTGGGGTATGAAAGAGTGATTGGCCGAAGATTACCTTTCTGTTTTCATGCCTAAGACAGGACTGGAATTCATAGTTTCCTGGTTTGTAGCCTGGTGCTTTAACCACTGCACCAACCTGCATGAATGGCATCAAAATAACTGTTAAAATAATAAAATAATTTTACATGCATTTTACTATATAATAATAAATGGATACTGGCAATCATCCTAAGATTCAAACAGCAGTTTAAAGAGATAGTTTTAAAAGTCTTCCTGACTGAGAAGGAGTATGAATTAATTGTATTTCCATAATGTTAAACTATAATGTAGAAGGCCTATTTCCTAGTCCAGCTCCCCTTGACTTCACATTAATAGATTACAGAGCTTAAAAAACAATAACACTATTTTTTTACAGACATTAAACTGCCATGTTTACATCTGTTCATACATTTATCCCTTATTTGACTAGGATCTAACTTGAATATGTATTTCAATTAATTTAGATGCAATACAAGTTAAAACACAAGAAGACATTGTACAACAGGTGTCTTACACATGTGAAATACATATATTTTCTTCCTCCTCAAACAGATCCTCTTTGCTGATTCTTTATTCCCAATTTTCAGGCTCCATTGCTGTTAAATAAATATTGTTTGCAGTTGGTGGACCACTTAATGGATCTCCATTTTCTGAAAGTGGTAGTTTATTATGGATAAAGACAACTTACCATGATTTCTTCTTTTGTTTAGGATAATGGACCTGTTCCAAATAGGAGACCCATGGCCTTTTCACCTGGAGGAAGTCCAACAGACAACAAGCAGACCTTAAATTTGCAATTCAATAATCCTTTACGTCTGTATGCAAACAACAGTCCAGATTCTAGTTTACCTTCACAGATGAGTGGTCTCCATATCACAACTCCCCAAAGGTATGGAGTAAAAAGTGTACATGTCAATTGAATTGCTTTTATAAATGCCTGAATTGAATTAATGAAGTAGGGCTGCTGCATCCATGTTGCAAAAATGCAGACAATTGCTAAGAGGGCAGTAGGTAGATATAGAAAGCTCTCACTTTTCATATCCATTTAATGGTCATCTGGATGTTTTAGTCCAGACATGGTTACAGCCAGTATGAAAAGATAAGTATCAGGGAAGTGTTTTGCACCATTTTTTTCCAAGTGACAATCTTCACTCTTTCACACACACTAAAACGACTGTGCTTCTGTTCGAAGAGCATTCCATCTCCAACTAAAATGGGTTTAAATACTTAAGAAAAATCATTTTAGCACTATTTTCCCAAACGAATCAGCCAAGTCTTCAACTATTTTACTAAACGTCAACCTACACTACCTAGGCTCCAAAACTCCTGATGGCCACTAGATGGCAGCAAAAGAGAGGAATTTTCTCCACCTTTTTGCTGCCTAGTGATGGCTGAGAATTTTATACCCCAGGCAGGATAGCCTAATTAAAAGACACATATCACATTGATTCATAACATTCGTTGTTTCAGTTATCTCAAACCCACTTTGTTATAGATTTTAAACAGATTTACAGCTTAGCACATGACAATAAATTATGACTTGTTCAACAGACTATGGGTAAAACAGTGTTTGTGTTACAGATTTGCTTTATCTATTAGTATACAATTGTTAAAATAGCAGCATAATTTTTTTTTCAAGCTAAATTGGCAAAAGAAAAATGAAATTCATATTAGAACATTCTCATTTGTCCCAAATGTGCTTTTCAAAAGGCAACTGAGAATTGAAAAAGATTCTTGAACGAGAAGTGAGACATTTTCGAGGAAAAAAACAAGGAAGTCCAGTTGCCTTTTTGAAAAGCATCTTTGGGACAATCATGGCCCGGATGATTGAGAATATCCATAGACTTTCCCATTTGTAAAGCCATCTGAATAAAACATGTGTAATGTTATATTATTCCCCCATCCCCTCTGTTCATTCATTCCCTCAACACTGTTCAACTATTTACAAAGTGTGCACTACTATTACTGTTAATCTTCTCATCATTCCTTATCACCCATCCCCTCCCACTTGTGATTGTAGGACTGTAACTTTGTTGCTTGTATCCTTAGGATTTATATTGACTGTTTCCTAGTATGATTTGATTGTTGACTGTACTCTATGACTATCATTAAATGTTGTATGTTATGATTCTTGATTCTTAACAAATGTATCTTTTCTTTATGTATACTGAAAGTATTTACACCAAGACAAATTCCTTTTGTGTCCAATCACACTTGGCCAATAAAGTATTCTATTCTATTCTATTCTATTCTATTCTATTCTATTCTATTCTA